TAATAGCAGATCAACGAAAGTAAGAAAGAAGTCAGATTCAAGTATAGCAGAAACAAAGACACAGAAAAAGGGTTTAAAGATTATAACTAACGAGGAGGAACTAGAAAGGAATATTAGATTAAAAGAAGAAAAAGAGGAGGGTATAAAACGAATAGAAAATAGATGGTATAATAGTTTTAGAAAATTAATATGAAATAGTTGCAAACCCTTTTGGTATAGTTTGTGTGGCTAACCTGATATTAGCCTTCTGATTATGAAACAAATTTCAAATCAGTGCGGCAAACTGCTTCTGGGCACTCACGAGGTAGCTGGAGAATGTCGAACCTAGATATTGAGCTCAACTTTATATAATTTATTTATATAATAATCTTAATAAAGAATCACCAGCAAGGTTGCCAAAGATTAAAAAAAAAAAAAAAAAAAAAAAAAAAAAAAAAAAGTTGTAGAGCATATCAAAAGGCATCTAATAGTAGTAAGAATATTAAAATTGGCTTGATATTTCTTGAGAAATCTTTAAAAAAAATCGATTTTTTTTTAAAGAAATTTTATATATAAGAAAGAAGTTTTTTAAAGATTTCTCAAGAAACACCAAGCTAATTTTAATATTATTACTACCATTAGATGCCTTTTGATGAACTCTACAACTTTTATTACAAGTCCAAAAGTGATTTATTTAGTAAGAAAAAAAGTTTTAGATAGCCACGCTTCACATTTGCACTTATAGTAAAATTTATATATATATAAAAAAATATTTTGTTTAGATAACTTGCAATTTGCTTATTAAAGTTAACTAATAACAATTCTTAGCTTTCTATACGAGTAAATACCTATTTTTAACGTCTCATTTAGTTTTTTTGACAAGAGTTGATCGGTGCTGATTTACTTTGATTATTTAAACTAGATGTCTTGAACTATACATTTAAAGCTTATTAAACATAAACAATTATTAAAATTTTTTTTTTAAAATGTGATGATGTTTGAGGGGTAAAATGCACGTGAGAGCCAATCAAATTCACAAATTGGTTCATAGATCATTCTAGAATGGGATTTCCTAATTTGGTATATTCCTTGACTATACTAAATAAATCACTCTTGGGTTTATAACAAAAGTTGTAGAGCTTATCAAATGTATCTAATGGTGGTAAGAACCTTAAAATTGGCTTGTAGTTCTTGAAAAATCTTTAAAAAACATTTTACTAATATAAAGATTTCTCAAGAACCACTAGGCCAATTTAACGTTCTTATAATCATTAGATGCATCTAACAAGAGAGAAATTTATTTTAATTAGTTGTTTATGTCTATTGAAAAAATAATGTTATACAAATTTTTTATATTGTTTACAATAGAAAAATGGATCCGTAAATAGCAAGAAAATTTTTTTCATAATTAGATTAATCTGAAATTTTGCAAGATTATAATTTGAAAACATATTTTTCATATAAGCATTAGAGATCGAATGAGATCGAATATTTCCACCAACTTTAATTAGAGACAATTTGGACCATAGTTATACTTAATATGAAGTCCATATATTAAGTTTTTGGCGATTAAAACAAAATAACTAAGATAAAATAACTTCTTTTTTGAAGTTAAAGTTTTGAATTTCACGTGAGCAAGTTACTATCATGAAAGATTATAAAAGATTATAAGTATAATGATAGCAATAGTATTGAAAATCATTCTTTATAATTTTAGCCAATCAGGATCATTGATGATCAGCCAATAAAAACAAATTTCCATCTTGCTGTGCAGGTTTTGTGATATAGATATAGAATAAGTTTTAGCCAATCAGAATTACTGACGATCAGCCAATAAAAAAACAAATTTTTCATATCATCTGTCAAAATGTTTACTTTCACGTGACAGTTTTGTGGCGCATAAAAAAAATTTTCCACATCATGTGATCTTATTGAAAAAATTTCGCTAAGAAAAAACATTTCGCTATTAGGTTAGGGTTAGGTAGGTTGATTTAGAGTGTTATAGTTATACCAAAATTTTGCAGTTTCATAGATAAAATTTCGAGTTTTGGATTGTTTTAGTTTATTGAACTTTTTTCACGTTACACCTGATCTCGAAATTTGATTGGCCAGCGAAATTATCGCTCAAGGATATTTTTTTGTTAGGTGTTCGTATAACGTTACAATAAGTCATTGTAGACCCTCACGTGAAAGTGAAATGTTGACGGCGGTAAGTTTAAATTAACTGATCTAGCGTTTTTACCAACCTAAAAAATTTCGCTAAAAATTTCACAGTTAGATTAGGGTTAGGTTCTGCTAATAAGTTAGGTTAGAAAGAGCTTTAATAGTACCAAAATTTTGCAAGAAACCATTTTTGTTAGTGCGCAGAAGGTGATTAATAGATAAAATGTTGATTTTTGGTTTCTTCTGCGTCACACCTGATCTTGAATCTAATTACTGATGAAATCGCGGCCGCCAATTAAGTAAAAAAAATATTCCTGGGCTAATTTATCATCCTAAAAATTACCATTTTGGAGTTAAAAAAAAGAATTAAAACATTAATTCCGGCAAAACTATGCATAACGCGGGCCAAAAATTTGACGATCACTGCCATTGGCCAATCCAAATCGAGGATTTGCCGCGCGGCACCTCATATAAGCGAATCGGCCTTAGCTAGAGACATAAAATTTTAAGTTGAACCCCATATTTTCTATATTTAATTGGTCAAATGTACAGAACAATAACTCGATTGTACCCTAATAATTTAAAGCTATGCCTTAAATAATAATGGTTATGCACAATCATGCGTCAAACCCATCTGCCTCAGCCCAAAACCATCTCTTTTCTATTGGTTAAAACCCTACATGGAGATGTTATTTGACGTCTGAGCCCTACTAAGACATATCCTTTGACATAAATTGTATATTATTATCTTTAAAAGAGTGATTTGCTTTATATAAAAGAAATACTTTCGCTAATCGTTAATGAAAAGAACATAAGATGTATTTTAAATATGAGTTACGATTATCCACTTCTTCAAAAAATTTAATATCTATTTTATTTGTCTCTTACCCAGTTTGTCTTCGAAAGTTTAAAATAATTGAAAGTAGGCAAGCGTAATGTCAAACAACCTGACCCTCCAAAAAATTTTTGGGGTATTAAGTCCACTGTTGCATGGGCCCGCATGATTCCACATATTCGCCTGTCAATTTGTCAATACGTGGCGAAGGTGGCTGGCAGGTTAACTAAAATTTTCGAAGTCTATAGCTAATTTTCTTTCAAATTGATCATTTTACGCAATTTCCATAATTTCAGTCCGATTGCTATTTTTTTGAAATGACAGAACTACCAGAAACAATACGTCCTTTATTAGTTGGTCCGGATATTGTTAGCTCTCCTTATCCAATAAAAATGAAAGGCATAGTAATTCAAGGCTTCGGTCGGGGTAGCAAAGAGCTCGGAATTCCAACAGGTATTTAACTTTTATTTTTATACTTAATTCGTATTTTATCATACAATAACCACTCCGCATTGTTGGTTTTAAAATAAAAGCCAACCTTTCAGAAGCGGCGACAAATGCTCTATGTGAAGACGTAGAAACAGGGATTTATTTTGGGTGGGCACAGGTTGACAATGATTCATCCGTTTACCCAATGGTGATGAGTTTAGGATGGAATCCTTATTATAAAAATGAAAAAAGAAGCGCGGTTTGTATATGAAAATAATTTCTTGATCTACTTTATTTTGTATTGATTGATTTTTGCTCTGTATTTAGGAAGTTCATATTATACATGATTTCCCTGAAAATTTTTACGGAGTAGAATTGCGTGTTATTGTGTTGGGTCGTATTCGCCCTGAACGTGATTATGATTCAATAGGTAAATTTACATTACATTATTTCGAAAATTTCGAAATAAGTTATCTGAACTAAACATTTATTATGATTATCTGAATAGATGCTCTCATTCAAGATATTAATACTGACATAAAAGTAGCTCAAAAGTCTCTTGAGCGAGCTTCATATACTACTTTTAAGAGTGATCCTTTTTTCATGCATTAAAACAATTAAATTAATTCTCTGGATAGACTAATTTCGATAATTATAACTATGTATGCGGGTCTCATACGTGTTTTAAAATAAGTGATAGATATAATTCTAAAAATGTTAACCAATAAAAGGTGATTAATAATAAATTTATATATAGTATAATTATATTAATAATTCATATAATAAATTTGTTTTAAGGGTATAAAGTACTATATATTTTAAAATTATATATAATTTAATAGCAATTTTTTTATATTTAATTTTATGAAAATTTTATTAAGTAAATTAATTTTAACTATTATGTAAGGTTTGTAGAATATGTTTTTCTGATTCTAATAATAGTAAATTTATTAAAGTTGGGTAAAAACTAAGATATAAGATTTTATATAAATTGACCAATTAAAATTAGCAATTTTAGGCTCTTTTAAAAAATTTTTGTAATTTATTTAAGTATATATTTTTATTAGATATAGCAGTTTAAAATTTTACTACAAGACTACAAAAAAAAATTAGTTTTATAACATAAAACTTTTAAACAAATCTAGCTAGCTAGTTAAATAGTAAAATTATATCGATATACAAATCGAAATACGCTAGACTTACATCATACATCAGCTCATACATCCTAGAAGGTTAAAGCAAAATTCATGTGATTAATATATTTATAAACACCGTTTATGGAAAAACACCAGAAATGCATGTGTAGCATCTTCTCACAAAAAAATGACGGGTTTATTATTTAAAAGCGTTTTTAAAATTCCTGCGTTGAGCATTTTGAAACAAAGAGGATTATCTAATGGTGTTTTTGCTGTGCAAAAGAGGCTTTTTGCTTCTTCAAATGACGGCCAGGTGAATTATGATAATTTGAGCCTTTTAAAAATATTTTGATCGCGTTCAACATTCGGCTAAATAAATTGCGATTTATCGATGAATTCGACTCTTGATTGTTACATGCTTGTAATGCATTTTTGTTTTATCAATACTTTGTTCAAAGATGACAGTGAGAGATGCACTTAATGCAGCACTTGATGAGGAACTTACTCGCGATGAGCGTGTTTTTCTAATGGGCGAAGAAGTCGCTCAATATAATGGCGCATATAAGGTGAAACATCAAATAAACTTAAAAGTTTATTAGTAAAATGAGTAAAATTTCACATATTCCATATTAATCACATTTATTTATTTTTTTTTAATTCTTTATAGGTATCAAAAGGACTTCTTGATAAATTTGGCCCGAAGCGTATTATTGATACACCTATTACAGAGTCAGGTTTCGCTGGTTTAGCCATAGGCGCAGCGTTATCTGGATTGAGACCTATATGTGAATTTATGACTTTCAATTTTTCAATGCAAGTATGTAAATTTACAACTCACATATTAATTATTTCTTGATAATTAACGACATTATCATTAATTGTTTTAAAGGCTATAGATCAAGTGATCAATTCAGCAGCAAAAGTTTATTATATGGCAGGTGGTTTAGTACCATGCCCCATTGTCTTTCGAGGTCCAAACGGTTCAGCAGCAGGTGTTGCGGCTCAACACTCCCAAGATTATTCAGCATGGTATGGTGCTATTCCAGGATTAAAAGTTGTATCACCGTGGGATAGTGAAGATGCCAAAGGGTTATTAAAGGTATATAGTATTTTGTATAATTATTTATTTATTTATTTTTTTAAAGAAAAAAAATAATACAGTATATTAAGAAATATTATTTATTTGAAAGTCTGCAATTCGAGATCCTAACCCGGTTATCGTATTAGAGAATGAACTTCAATATGGAGTCCCATTTCCAATGTCTGAGGAAGCAATGTCACCCGATTTTTTATTACCAATTGGTAAAGCTAAAATTATACGGGAAGGCAAGGATGCCACAATTGTATCGCATTCAAGAACAATAAATTTTTGCATTGAAGCGGCCGAAAAGTTGCAAGCCGACGAAGGAATTTCAGTTGAAATAATTAATTTACGATCGATCAGACCATTAGATGCTGATACAATAGTAAACTCAGTTAAAAAAACCAATCATTTGATATCCGTTGAATCGGGATTTCCGCAATTCGGAGTTGGTAGCGAAATATGTGCCTTGGCGATGGAAACAGAAGCATTTGATTATTTAGATGCACCAGTAGAAAGAGTTACAAATGCGGGTAATTTAACAATATTTCGTTTTATATTATTTACTATGAAATATTCACGTTTTATATTATTTTATGTATACATTTAGACGTTCCAACGCCATATGCACAAAATATAGAGTATTTGAGTTATCCAAATGCAGAAGTAATAGCCAAAGTCGTCAAGCGTTCATTATATAGAAAAAAGTAGGTAAAACCAACCACTTTTATTTTGTAGAGGTAGTGGTGCATATTGGATATTCAAAATTTTAATTATTTAAGAGAGAATGATAAAGTTGTTTTCTAATCTGAAGCTAACAAAGTCCGGTATAATTGATACAAAAATCAATAAATGACTTATATAATTATTGTGATTGTCGATTCTATTCTGACATGGTGCTTATTTCATGGCAAAAACGAACAGGCATGAATCTTGTACATGATGAATTTAAAATTGAACAATTATAAGAAATTTTTATTAAAATAAGAAATTCTTTAGTTGTCTAGCATCAATGAGATGAATTAATGTATTATAAATTTCATAAATTTGTTATATCAACCAATTTTTGTATCATTTTAAAATCCGTCCTCCCTGAATATGACCTTTCTAAATGCATAATCTATGAAGAAGCAGGTGGAGTGTTTAACAGGATATTGCTCACTCCCCCACACTCTAAATGCATCATAAGATACATATAGATTTTTACCACCCTAAATGCAAGATTTTTTGATTTTTTCATACGTATAGGTAGTGCTTCGATCTTGAATTCGGATCCTACTTTTGTATCCGGACGATAATTCGAATCTGTATAAATTCGGATTCAATTATTAAATCCAGATCATATGAAAAATGATCTACGTCCACCCTACCCTTAACCAATCAATTTTTGTATATTTCATCTTATGCGACAAAATATTTGAAGTTACAGTATAACGACAATCGTTATAGTAAAATGAACACTGACACCTTAGCTAGTCCCGTTTATGATTTAGAGGCATTTAGAAATATAAGTGAGGCATACGAAAAAAATGAATTAGCATATCTCGAGCAATATTATTCAAAATATTACGTTGTTGACCTGAGTAAGCACGATTATGATTTAATATTTAGAAATAATGCGTATTTTAAATTGACAATTTTTGTTCAAAGAAAACTCCATGGAAGATTTGTATATATATCAAGCTCCAAACAAGTAAAGACATACGTAAAAAAAATAAAAACATCCGAGCAACATAAAAACCATTTAATAATATTTCTTCTACTGTGCTAAAGATTATGCGTCATAGGGTTAGCACCAACGCATCCTTTACTTCAACGATCAGAGGCTCAGAGCTCTTCTGAACATTACCCGTCAAACATCCAAACTATAGAATATGATGTTAAGGTTAAGAGCTCGATTAATAAGAAAAGACAGGATCCTCTTTCAATTAATACTGAAATTTGTGCCATTACAACTGAAGAAGGAAAGCGTTATAGCATTAAAGCTGGCGTCGCAGGTTGGATGATTGATATCAATATGAGATTGGAACATGAAAAGGAATTGCTACAGAATAAGGTACTTGAATGTTTATTATTCAAATCTTCTTTTTTAAATATGATTATCTGATTTTTTTCGTGAACAATTCTAATAGCCATTTAAAGAAGGTTACATTGCAATTATAAAACCTAGACAAGAGAATTCTGATAAATCATTAAGCCATTGTTTTTCTGAAGATCGATATAAATTATTTCGAAACCTGTCATAGAATATTAGCTTGAAAAAGGTCGTTATAAAGTAGGTTCGTTACGTATAAAAAGGTTCGCAATATCCAAATCGACTTATTATACTACGTATATACATACAAGTATATAAAAATAGATATATATACACACCATATATATAATTATGTTACTATATAATATATTGTTTTTATTTGGTTGATGTGGTAATTCTAATCCAAACCTAGAAAAACACATTATAAAGATCTAAAAGTCTCAATGGTCCAGTTAATAAAAGAGCGAATGTTCAAATCATTATATAGTATAATAACGTTGTATCTCTCGTTAATTTCCAACTATCATTACTAATCGGTTAAGGGAAGCTATAGAATCTGATTCAGAGTTACGACTGGAACTACGTAGTGTGTTAATTTCCGGGATTTTTCATTGCTTAATCAATGAAATCGATACTAAGTGGAGCTAACATGCGCATGAATGTGCGTTGCTCTTCCAAACAGTCATAACAGTATAAATAGTTCCTGAGGTTACACTCTATTTTTTTGATCACAGGCCTACAATCGGTACATTAAGTTGTTCAGAACATACATTCTGAGTCTCATATGAACCAAATAACTTTTTACTAATATGATTTTATATTTGATGTTTACATTAAGAATTATGCATTTTAATCTTCCGGACAACTTTGTATATATAATTCTTTTATTGTAACCGAAAAATAAGCTACATACTTGTCCAAAATCGTCCAAAAAAAAAGGGGTAACCATTTTCGGTTACTGCCAATACCTAATTAGATTTTCATCCGAGTAAATTTAGATTGAAACAAATTGCAATTTATAAAATTATTGGTACGAGTAACGATTCCTTTTTTTATTCCTAATTTTGCGAATCACCTTACTTTTCCTCTTTCTTTTCTTACTACTGCAAATCATATTAATGGTTATTACTCTTATTAATATTTTTATTAAAAACATTTTGACGATCACTTCGGATAGATTGTAAATCCTTGGGAGTATGAAATAAGATCTATAAAAAAACATCTGTTTCCCCAGTTAAAAAAAAAATCAAAAATTTTTAATGATGAGAATCCTACGTTTTTCCAGTTCGAATAATAAAAATGGCTTATTAAAATTTATCAGACTATACTCTGCTACACCAGTTAACAGGCTGGCCTCAGTAAGCCATGATACTGGACCTGTAACAAAACCTTCAGATGCGATATATGCAGATGGTCATGTGAGAAACGATTGGACAAAACACGAAATAAAGTCTATTTATGATTCGCCTATAATGAGTCTTTTATATCATGGTGTAAGTTCATGACTTATAAAATCAAATTATTTCGATTGCATTTCGATGATGTAAAATTCGATTTGATTTCAATTCGATATGATGTTTTATTTTACATATTTATAAAATTGTCTAGGCAAAAGTACACCGTAAATATCATGATCCACTTGCCGTACAACAATGCACGCTCTTAAGTATCAAAACCGGTGGATGTTCTGAGGATTGTGCATACTGTCCACAATCTTCTAAATACAAAACTGCCGTCAAGGCAACAAAATTGTTAGATACCGATGATGTTATTACTGCGGCTAAGAATGCAAAAAAAGCTGGTAGTACCAGGTGTGTTTTAATATATTTTAAAGATACCTATACATTGTTATTATAACTTATCATCATTTCTGGTATCATAAGGTTTTGTATGGGTGCTGCTTGGCGTGATCTTAATGGTAGAAAATCCAATTTTAACAAAATCTTGGGATATGTAAAAGAGATTAGGTATATATAATTATATTTCCAGTTATTTATCTTTTTACTTGACAATATATTAATACTTTGTATTTTGCCAATATATAGGGCAATGGACATGGAAGTTTGTTGCACTTTGGGTATGTTGAATGAAGCCCAAGCCAAAGCTCTGAAAGAGGCTGGCTTAACTGCATACAATCATAATTTGGATACATCTCGTGAATATTATCCAAAGGTTTGTGTTAATATATATATATTTATATATATATATATTTATATATATATATATATTTATTTATTTATTTAAATGTTTATTTATTTCATTGACATTCATCCATTTCTCAGATAATAACCACTCGATCTTATGATGAGCGACTTGAAACAATTTCAAATGTTCAAAACGCTGGTATTTCTGTATGCTCAGGTGGTATTATTGGGTTAGGTGAAACTCCTGACGATCGCGTAAATATGTTACACACTTTGGCAACGTTTTCAATGCATCCTGAGAGTGTTCCTATTAATGCGCTTGTGCAAGTTGAGGGTACACCATTGGACAAACAAGAGGTTTTATTCTTATGTCATTCAAAAGTTGTTGTCGAGTTTTATATTATACCTATTTTTTTGCTTATATTCCTTAACCTTTTTCGTAATTAGCCTGTTTCTATTTGGGAAATGATTCGAATGATCGCGACTGCGCGCATCATCATGCCTAAATCAATGGTTAGATTATCTGCCGGCCGAATACGGTTTTCCCAACCTGAACAGGTATTTAGTGTTTTATCAAGTCTTTCAATAACTTTTTATTTATTTCTTCATTTATAAATTAAGAAATGTTTCTTTTATATATATTTCTATAGGCTTTATGTTTCCTTGCTGGCGCAAATTCTATTTTTACTGGTGATAAATTATTAACAACAGATAATAACGATTTTGATGCTGATCAAGAAATGTTTAAAATTCTAGGTAAGTTTTATTTTATAATATTATAAAAAATTATTTAAGTTCTAACATTTAAATTTTTATATAATGTAGGCCTTACACCAAAAGCCGCCAATTTTAATCAAGGATCGTCCCCAATGATTAATGAACCTTCAAGCCTGAATGATCATGATAACAAGCAACGACAAAATGAATTCTAAGCAATTTAAGTCGCATAAAAATATATTTAAATATTCCTTAATGTGAATGTTCAAGTAGATAATTATTATTTTTTATTTATTAATATTGTATGTGTGCAACACTTAAAAAATAAGCTTAAATGTTAAAAGGTATTATTAAATTATCCGGTTATTCGGGTAATTTACTAAATGTTCACCCAAATATAATCTCTAAAAAAAATACTAATAAATATGATTATGTTATATAAAGCGGTGATTATCATTGGGGTATTATATCTCAAAAACTTACTAGCTAATTCACGTGAGGGGTACTAAACAAAAATGTTTAGAACCCCGAAGAACCTAACTTTAACTAAAATTTAGACCTTTCTGATTTTATCTTATTTTAAAACTGCATTCTAACTCTAGAAATATAAAGCAGTGATAATTATAGATGCTAGTAAAATTAAATACTCTGGTGACTATCTAAAATCTGATTGGTGTGTTATATTAACTTTTACCGGACTGTAGTAGTTCTGAGATTGCTTTGTTGATGCAGATCCTTATATCTGGTGTTTCGAGTTTCTCTTTGTACTGGATAAATCCGCGGCAGTATTGGATTACTCTGCTAATTTCTGCTGGTGAGTTGGTAATAAAGCTGTAGTTGTTTAAGTAGTCAATCATAATTTTTTGTCTAAGTGTTGAGTAGATCTGGTTTCTATTTTCTTTGGTTGTGATAGATATATTATGCATTTCTTTGGATTTTTTAAAAGTTTTGGTAGAGGTTTTCATATTCAGTTTGATGTGCTGGTTTTGCTTTAGTTGCTTTAGTGAAGGTATGAAAGAAAGCTGTGTCATAGTGTTTGAATTTGAGTTCAATTGCTGGGAAATCAGATGATTAGTAGGTAGTACTGATACTTTGTATTGAACATATTGAGTAATGCTTTTCAGACTTTTTAATGCTTCTAAGATCTTGTCATTGTTTTAAATTTTGTAATTGAACAGGTTATTAGTTTCTTGTTATAGAATTTTTAAGGTAGTTTGTAATCAAAGTATGGCTTTGTCTGGTACTTGTTGGTCTTGTTTAGGTTGTACTATCTGGTTATAGAGAAGCTGTGTAGTTGTTGAAGGATGCAATATGTGATCTAAAGGTATTGGTAGCTAATAGATCATTTAATTATATATTTGGTGTATTCTATGAGTTGTAGGTATGTT